ACCATGTTGATTTCGAAGGTCGTGCCCAGTGGGGCAAGACCATTCCTACCGATGATGAGGACGCTGATGGCAATGGTCACGGAACGCACTGCTCTGGTACCATTGCCGGTCGCAAGTATGGTGTCGCTAAGAAGGCCAACCTCTACGCCGTCAAGGTCCTCAGATCAAGTGGCTCTGGTACAATGTCCGATGTCGTGGCTGGCGTCGAGTGGGCTGTCAAGTCTCACCTGAAGAAGGCCAAGGATGCCAAGGACGGTAAGATCAAGGGATTCAAGGGCAGCGTTGCCAACATGAGTCTCGGTGGTGGCAAATCCAGGACGCTTGAAGCTGCTGTCAATGCTGGTGTTGAAGCTGGTCTTCACTTTGCTGTTGCTGCCGGTAACGACAATGCCGATGCCTGCAACTACTCCCCAGCGGCTGCCGAGAATCCCATTACTGTTGGTGCCTCAACGCTCCAGGATGAGCGTGCCTACTTCTCCAACTATGGAAAGTGCACTGATATCTTCGCTCCTGGCCTCAACATCCTCTCCACCTGGATTGGCTCCAAGCACGCTGTCAACACCATCTCCGGCACTTCGATGGCGTCTCCCCACATTGCCGGTCTGTTGGCTTACTTTGTGTCTCTGCAGCCTTCTAAGGACTCCGCCTTTGCTGTGGATGAACTCACTCCTAAGAAGCTCAAGAAGGATATCATCGCCATTGCTACGCAGGGTGCCCTCACAGACATCCCGTCTGACACTCCCAACGTAAGTTTCCAGTTCTATGATTCGATACTACTTGTGTGAAAAGAAGAGCTAACGGCTTCTATAGCTCCTTGCCTGGAACGGCGGTGGTTCTTCCAACTATACCGACATCGTTGCAAATGGCGGCTACAAGGTCACTGCCTCCGTCAAGGATCGCTTCGAGGGTCTCGTTCACAAGGCCGAGAAACTGCTCACCGAGGAGCTTGGTGCCATCTACAGCGAGATCCATGACGCTGCTGTTGCATAGATGTGGAGTCTCATGGTTCAAGGGCATATATTCATCTTATGGGACTCGGGAACAGGCCGTTGATGAGGGAACACTGGCGCAGGTTTTTGTCTTTTGCTCTGGCTATATGCAGTTGTCGATGCATTGATTGCATCGTTTATTTACTCTCATTTCTACCGTAGTATACACGTCCACAACCCATACCTTTTGACGACTGATATAGAGTATTGTTTGCGCGCTTCATCAGATTGGCAATTTAAGAATGCGCAATTCCACTTAGATTCAGCATCTATTCAATTGTACATGAAACTGTCTCGGCTCTGAAAGATCTTGATCAAATGGTTCGAGATCAGCACTCGCACAAGGATGTGTCACGCGGACATCAGCACCGTCTTATGGTGTTATTCTAGTTTACGCAATTCTCCTACTGAAGTGCGTGATTGATTGATTCTGAATACTCCCCAAGCAAAAAGGCGAACCATCGTAGCTGAGAGAAATGGTTGTTGGCCGACTGCTTTGCTATATATATAATCCCCGTCCTGTGAAAAATGTTCAAATCACTCGCTCCATGAGCCTTGAATAGAGACAATTCAGACAGCTAGTAGTATCTTCTCTACTTGACCCACAAAGAAACAATATGCGAAGCCATGATAATAACTGTAGACAGAGCTAACACAGACCATTTCTGGGACAGTTTTTGACACACAGCTGACTCCAGACATTCCCTCTGCTTATCCGAAACTAAGGTTGTCCTGTACGACATGAAACGGAGCCACATGAACCGAGAAGGGAACTTACCTTAGTTCATGGCACAAGTTTCTCTTGCGTGTGATTTCCGTGAGTCTTGGGAGGTTATTTGTGTCAGAGTCGCAGCTTACAAGCCAACGTGTTGGGGTCGGGTGGTATGACCTGTGGAAAATGGCAAAGGAGAAGCACGGGATTTCGAGGGATCAAGGGGATCTGGATGGATAGTGGTCTTTGACGAGTTGGACCATGTGTTTGGTGGCCAGGTACCTTGGGCTTGAAGAAGGTGGGAGTGTGAGTTTTACTAGGACTTGCTGTAGATAGGGAGCTGTTGTGCTAACATCTGACCTATATCCGTGGCAGAATGTTTGGGAAGGAACATTCGCTACAGTAGAAGATTTCACGACTGTTTTGGGGTCTTGTCATGGGGTATAAATGGATACCACCATAGTGGAATGTGGCTCGGAAAGTTCCTGTACCCGTAGATCACATATAATGCAGCAAGAATACATCAGGAAATTCACCAAAGACGGCAGTAGTGATAGTGTTGGTACAACTATGTGATAGAAAGCAAAGGTACCCAGCTGTAATGGATAAATTTGCAATAGATATTGCCGTGAATCAATGAAAAAAGCCCGTAGCTCGCCGATGCGCCTGCGCTATGCATAAAGCCGATAAGATCTTCGTCACAGAAATGAGACCCGCAGAAGGATCGTGATCAAAAGAAGTAAAATCCTCCTCTAAAAATTCGTGAAAGCAGCGACAAATCACCTTCAATCCTGGTCGTCTTCCTCATCGTCACTGCCGGTATCCTGGTCGTCAAGATCCAAGTCCTCGTCTGAGTCACTTCCCCCAAACACATCGCTGTCGACTTCACTGTCGGCCCAGAAGTCTGCATCGTCGGCCTTCTCTGTTGGTCTGTTCATCGAGGACTCATGAGTGGGCATGACGAAACCGTCAGGAATGTCCTTCTTCGACTGCTCAACATCCTTCCTCACCAGCGCCTTGTAAGACTCGAAGTCCTTTCGTAGCATGACACCGGCATCAACATTGGCAGGCGATGACACTTCGGCATCATCTAGGAGTGATAGGATCGAGATAAGGACAGACTCGACACGTTGAGCGGGCGACCAGCGTTCCGAAGCCAGCTCGCCTGACATCTCGTCCTCACCGGGCGCGTGTAGAATAGATATGCAGAGTTTGCCGTCTGGATAGATGTTGGGGTGGTAAAGAGGGTGGAGAAACCGAAACTCTTCATGAGAAGTAATGAGGATCAGTGCTGACCGAGATGAAGACAAGGAACACAGGAGGGGCTCACCAGGCGGGGAGTATGGGTAGTTCTTGGAGAACTTCATGGACGCCTTGAAGTAACCGCCGTAGTACAGAGAGTCCGGGTTCAGTACGATAAGACCGACATTCCAGTTGAAGATATCTTCGTCATTGAGCTGCCAGGTTCATGTTAGACTGGATGTCATTATCTGCAAGGATACAGGCGGCAGTAGACCAAGTATTCCCCAAGGTTCGTGATCTCCAAAGCCTGACCCCGTAACCTGAACATATCCATATAATAGAGTAGGCGTACCTCGATGTTTACCCAATCCTCCTTAGCCAACGCCTTGTATTCGTTCATCAAAATACGCTCCGCCATGGCGGCGACAAGGAGTGGAAGCGGCTCGCGAGGTTCGATTGGAGGGACGCAGGTGTCCTGTCAAGGAGGGTGTTGCAAAGCAGGTAAGCCCAAAAGAGGCGGCAGAGTAAGCTGGCTAGCACCTTGTCAAGAGGTGAATAACAAAGCAAATACTAGTGAATGAACACAAAAGAACGGAAGAGGGAATACATGGGCAGCTCAGGGTGGTCGCCTGAACGATCAAAGGCTGCCTTACGTTTTGGCCATGGCTTTCCTCTTTGGGTTACGGTGCCGCTGTGGCAATCCATGACGGAAGAACCCGGGGTGGCGCTACACCAGAATAGGAAAAATTACTGCATACAAAAGACAATCAGAACCTCTGTACCTAGGTCCACAGAGTGGGCAGGAAGGCAGCCATGTGCCCATGTCTATCTAGGTGGCCAATTATCAGAAGGCTTTTTCAGACTCAATTGGAATTCTATCTTCATTTTATGACCATTCCGACATTGAAAGGGTACCTTATACATCGACTTGGACATCAAATCAGTCCTTCGATATCTCTTTGGGTGGACCCATTACGGCGTAGTATCTGATGCCATCATACTAGTTCAAACTTGAGAATCAGATCATCCCAGAGTCAGAATGGAAATAAGAAAAGCTCTCCAAGTAGGTTGAATGTCCTGTCAAAGCAAGCGCAAAGTTAGAGGCTGCTCCTTCGTCTTAGGACGGCACCTCTCTAATGCCGGTGGATATTAGATCAGGCCAATAAGACAAAGTATCTTGTCACGTCGCATTTGTTTATCTCATCCTGTTGTTGGATGGGATCATCGCACCTCCAGTGAGTCATGCCGACTCATGCGGCATGCCCCGAGTCTGAGACAACCCTGGCTAGCGCGCGACTATCATTGACAATAACGCCCTCCGTCGGAGTCCTAATTGATGACACGAGTCGGATAAGATAGAGATACCGACCCTCGTCTTCGTTGATCTGCAGCTGCTTGTAATTGGAAATGTGTAAGTTTCTCCGGAGTATATCGGTGTCGGTGTGATGAGGGAGCGAAGAAGCTGCAGGAAGCAATAAGTGATAAGTGATGTTGATGGTTGATCACATGCTCTGGTGCTGACTACTTTGAGTACTGATGTTCTGCGCCTAGACCATCATAGAGGACAAGAAGCGAAACAAGCATCACAAGATACTCTTTACCTAGGATTTTGATGAAACTGACTCATATTAAAACCTACCATCGTGCTCTGTCCATGGAGTGATGATGATAAAACCTTCGTTTCCTAGGCAGCTCCCGGATAGCGGTGACCCTCCACCCACCTACGGAGCAATCACTCAACTTCCTTGGACAGTGATAGTGACATCCCCAAGTGTTCTGTGTTTCCTAAAGCTGGAAAAGATTCACTTGACCTTTAACAGCAGTCTGACTCACACTCAGAGAAGGAATTGCATATGGTGATAAAATAATAGCACAAGAAGATCATTGTTGGTGGAGTGCTTTAAAAGGTCGATCTGGGTTGCATCGGCCTCTTGCTTCTAGTAGGGAGCTAGCGCCTCTAGTGCTCTAGTCCCAATCTGCTCGCCGCCCCCTTCCCCCCACCCACTGCATTAGTATTAGACTATCACTCTTCAGAATACTACTTCGTAAATAATACTGTCGAATTCGATTCTTCCGGGTTCCGCGACCACCTTGATTTGACCTCTTCGTATTCATTTCCTTCTTTTTGATCTTTTGACCTAAATATCTTTGCTTTTCGTCCGTTTAGAGAGAACCCCCGGCAATGCCAGGCTCGTTCTGATTTCAATGTTGGAAAGCTGTCAGTAACGCGAGTAGCTTTGGCAAGTTCTTGTTCTTACGCTTCGACGTCATCCACCGCGGACTACATTCCAGCACCTGGATGTGAGGCGGAAGAATCGACGTGGCTCTCGATCTTACTTCTGCTACTTATAATTCTGTCCCAACATAAAAATGTTGCCAGAATGCCATGGTCCCATCTGGGCCATTGATGACGTTTCCCGTTGCTTTCAGCGCAAGTATGTCTCAAGCGCTCATCTGTCCCTGCAACTTGCAAAGAATTATCTCCGTCTAACGCATTTTGAGTTAATACAGATATCTGCAACTTATATTTCCATTAGCAGCATGCGGTCTCTCCTTATTGTATATCGTACTCCGCGTTGTCCATCGCTACGTTGTGAAAAAGAAGGGAATCGCTTACACGGTCCTCGCGAACGATGAAGCCGAGAATGGAGTATCCAGTACTGGACCAGTTGATGAAGAGGACGGAGAGGAAGGAGAGGAAACCGATCCGATGTTATTCAAGGCGACGCAGCTGGAGCAGACGCGATTGGAGCTCGACCGTCCGCGAGGAGAAATCGCCATCATAGCTTTGGAAATAGCTGCATTAGTGGGCTTAGTGACCACGTTTGTCATCATACTGAACACCAACGCCTGGGGCGACAATGGGACGCTTCCAGCTGTGGGAAAGTTGATTTCATGGGGCTATATACTGTTTTTAGTGCTGGTTCGATTCACTCTTTCAACTTTGAAGCTGCAATCGTCTCCTCGGTTGTGGAACCACACTGCGGCCCTTTATGGTATGCAATGGTTGTTCAACCTCTTTGTGTTTCGATCAACCGTCATTTACCCCTCGTCGAAACGCGCTTTGACATTGAGCGCCGTCGAGTTTGCACTGTCCACACTGCTCTTCCTCATTGCTGTGACCACACGCAGAGGTAACAAGGCAGTTTTGGTGCAACGTGAAGATGGATTAGAGCCGCCGAGACATCCCAAGGCCAGCTTATTGTCACTAGTGACTTTCTCCTGGTTAGATCCACTAATCTGGAAGGGTTACAGACAGCCGCTTGAACTAGACGATGTCTGGAACTTAACAGCATCACAAAAAGCTGCTACAGTTTTGGAGGACTTTCGCCGCAAGCAGCCCAAAGGCTCATTAGTCTGGAGGCTCGGGCGCTATTTCTACGGCACGCTCCTGCTTCAGGGTGCATGGACGATATTCTCCAATCTCTTCACCTATCTGCCGACCCTCCTTCTCAAAGCTATTCTGGAATATGTCGAGGATCCCAGATCAACCACCACCAACGCAGCCTGGCTGTACGCGATCCTTCTTTTTTGCTCTGGAGCTATCCAAGGTATCGCTGATGGACAGGCTCTTTGGATTGGCCGAAAGCTAGGTGTCAAGCTTCGTGCTATTATTATCGGCGAAATCTACGCCAAAGCTCTGCGCCGAAAAGCCGGTTCCTCTCCTGAGGCACCAAAGAAGAAGGAAGAAGCTCAGAAGGCCGGCAAAAAGAACAGGATCTTTTCCTTTGGCCGCAAGCAGAAGAAGAAGGCCACAGTGGATTCTGAGACTCCAGCTCCAGCAGAGTCCGCCAAGGCAGATCCGGCTCAGTTGGCCAATGTCGGCACCATCATCAACCTGATGGCCATTGACTCTTTTAAGGTCAGCGAAGTGGGCGCCTATCTTCACTTTCTCTGGGCTAGCGTTCCTGTCCAAATCATCATTGCTGTCACACTTCTGTATCGACTCCTTGGTTTCAGCTCCTTCGCTGGGATCGTTCTCATGGTCCTCATGCTTCCGGTAAATCTCTTTATTGCCAAAAGCTTCGCTAGGTTGCAGAACCAGATCTTGGCTGGAACTGATGCACGTATCCACGCAACCAACGAGGTCCTTCAAAACATTCGTATTGTTAAATATTTCGCTTGGGAACAGCGTTTCGAAGATATTATTGACGAGAAGCGCAGAGCGGAGTTGAAATCGCTACGGAATCGCTACATTCTGTGGTCATTCGCCGCAACGGTTTGGTACGGCACACCAATTCTCATCACCTTCACCTCATTCTTCTTGTATACCGTGGTTGAAAAGAAGAAACTGACACCATCGGTCGCTTTCCCGGCTTTGTCTATGTTCTCCTTACTCCGCGTACCCTTGGATCAGCTGGCCGATATGGTTGCTCATGTTCAAGAATCAAAAGTCTCCCTAGACCGTGTGGATACATATCTCAATGAAGAGGAGACAGAGAAGTACAGAATATTGAGCACAGGCACGGATCCTGAAACGACGCCTAAAATTGCATTGGAGAACGCTACTCTTTCCTGGGGCACTCCCAAGAAAGACAGCCATGGGGACGCCTCTGACAACGGGGAGGCCTTCCGTTTGATCAATATGAACGTGTCCTTCCATATTGGTAAACTCAATATCATCGCTGGGCCCACTGGTTCTGGAAAGACGTCCTTATTGATGGCACTTTTGGGTGAAATGAAACTGCTAGAAGGCCGAGTCCATATACCTGGCGGAACGGCCAATCGAGCTGAATTGCCCGCTGATCCCCAAACTGGACTCATTGAGAGTGTCGCATACTGTGCACAAGAAGCATGGCTTGTCAACGCTACGGTCAAAGAGAACATTGTGTTCGCTTCTCCTTTTGATGAGAGTCGCTACAGGGCCGTTATCAAAGCCTGTGCTCTCGAGCGCGACTTGTCCATTCTCGACGCGGGCGATCAAACCATGGTTGGCGAGAAAGGTATCAGTCTTTCTGGAGGACAGAAGCAGAGAATCTCACTGGCTCGCGCTATCTACAGCAGGGCTCGTCATCTGTTGCTCGACGACTGTCTCAGTGCCGTGGACTCTCACACTGCAAAGCACATTTTCCGAGAGGCTCTCAGAGGTCCACTGATGATGAACCGAACCTGTGTACTTGTAACTCACAACGTCGCTCTGACAGTTCCTCAAGCCGATTTTGTCGTCGCCCTCGACAATGGTAAGATTACCGCTCAAGGTCGCCCAGATGATATCGCTAGCTCGGGCGTTTTTGGCGAAGACTATTTCAAGTCTCGGCCCACCTCGAGAGCCAGTACCCCTCGTTTATCACGCATGCCATCTGACGGGGGTGACGGACACACGGAGGAACAGCCCTCAACAAACGGGAAGGTGAACGGATCTAGTAAACCGACTACGCAGGATCAGAAAGGGGACAATGTACAGTCGAAGCTGACTGAATCAAAAGCTGTCGGAAGTATCAAGTGGTCGACCATTCAGCTTTACCTCAGATCGATGGGTCCCTGGTACTACTGGATAAGTGCTGCTCTTGTCTTCAGCTTGCAGCAAGTGGGATCGGTCTCGACCAACATCTGGATCAGACAGTGGGCGAATTCCTATCAGGTTGAAGCAAATGACTCAGTTGATGCTGGCACTTACGCTGCTGCGACAACATTCAAATTCCCGTCGTTTAATGCTGGGGGCGTTCCGCGCACTTCCAACTCTTACGTTCCCCAGTTCGGTGTTCAACGAAGTCCAGCGGCCGATGGCGATGTCAAGGTCTCCTACTATTTGGGAGTCTACGCACTTCTAGGAATTGGCTACGTCCTAATCTCCCTATTGAGGGAGGGTGTTCTCTTCTGGGGCTCTCTCAACGCATCTTCCCGGATCCACAGGCGCCTTCTAGATACCGTGATGCATGCCAAGTTCAAGTTCTTCGATTCAACCCCGCTGGGTCAGTTGATGAACCGGTTCTCCAAGGATATAGAAGCTGTCGACCAAGAAGTCGCCCCTGTCGCTATTGGTATGATTCACTGCTTGGCTTCCGTCATTATGATAGTGATTTTGATCTCTGTCATAACTCCTGGTTTCCTGATCGCGGCGATCTTCATATCTATGGTCTATTTCGCTCTAGGGGCCGTTTATCTCAACGCGTCTCGTGATATGAAGAGACTGGAGTCAGTACAGCGAAGTCCTCTTTACCAGCAGTTCGGCGAGACCTTGAACGGCGTCGTCACCATTCGTGCGTATGGCGATGGTCCGCGGTTCATAGTCGACAATCACCGGCACATCAATGCCTACAACCGTCCCCACATATATCTCTGGGCTGCAAATCGCTGGCTGGCATTCCGTGTGGACATCACTGGCGCCTTAGTTTCGTTCTTCACAGCCACTTTCGTTCTGATCAATGTCGGGAACATTGACGCTGGTGCTGCTGGCCTGTCGCTCACGTATGCAGTTACTTTCACCGAGAACGTTCTGTGGCTGGTTCGCCTGTACTCGGAGGTTCAGCAGAGCATGAACTCGGTTGAACGAGTGAAAGAGTACCTTGACGTTGAGCAAGAAGCCAAGGCAGTAATTGTCGACTCGAGGCCGCCCGCCGACTGGCCCACTGGAGGCGCCGTCGAATTTATCAATTACACTACCCGGTATCGGGCTGACCTTGATCCTGTCCTTCGAAGTGTGTCGTTTGCAGTCAAGCCCGGCGAAAAAGTCGGTATCGTTGGCCGCACAGGTGCCGGGAAAAGCTCCCTCGCCCTTGCGCTTTTCCGAGGACTTGAGGCAGAGCAGGGTCAGATTCTCATCGACGGACTAGACATCGGCACCATTGGACTCCGCGACTTGCGGGAAGCAATTACGATTGTGCCCCAGGATCCAACTCTTTTTACAGGGACTATTCGAAGCAACCTTGATCCGTTCCACCTATTCAGCGATGAACAGATCTTCACAGCCCTTCGTCGTGTCCACCTCATCGGGTCGGGAACGTCAGGATCGGCAACTCCTATCACGGCTAGCACCGGGTCAGTCGCCGAACCGCACTTCATATCGGCCCATGGAGCCGACGTGGATGGCGCCGCTGTTCAAGACAATAAGAATATCTTCCGCAACCTGGAGTCTCCAGTCTCCGAATCAGGCTCGAATCTGTCTCAAGGCCAGAGGCAGCTTCTGTGCCTTGCGCGCGCCCTTTTGAAGAACCCCAAGGTTCTGATGATGGATGAGGCGACCGCATCTATTGACTACAACACTGATTCCAAGATCCAAGAAACGTTGCGGGAATTGCGAGAGAGCACCATTATCACAATTGCACACCGCCTACAAACCATCATTGACTATGATAAAGTCTTAGTGCTTGATCATGGCCGGGTCATTGAGTACGATCATCCCTGGACGCTGATCAACAAGCAAGATGGGATGTTCCGTAGCATGTGCGAGAACAGTGGCAATCTAGAGGTCCTCTTGGACGGTGCGAAAAAGGCATGGGAAAACAAGCGCCTTGTTGATGACTCATAGAGCTCTATACATACATACTGCCTGTTAATCAGTTCCTTTCTCTTCCTCGTTTGGGTTCCTGTTACAAATATAGGGACCAAAAGTCGCGTATATCTTTTTTTGGGAGGCCACCTTATTCTTAGCACTGATCAGTATTATTCTAGCACATGTGGCGATTAGAGTGCTTCTCCTTACATCATGTTCATATTTGGCAAGAGCGCATATTTATTACTATGAGAATGCTGCAATTTCCTTTCGTGCTGAGTAGCGCAGTGTGGATAGTAGGAAGTTGAATGATGCCTCAGTCTTCCACCTGTTCTTCTTTCGGACTAGCGCATGATTGTCGATGCCCAAAAGAGTAAGAGACGAGCATCACCGACGCCATACACCCATCTCTAAGGGCTGAAAGAACTCCCTTGGGATCATCGGCAGCAAATCTAGATGTGGGACGGCAAACGTGAGAGACAATGCTACTGGATCTCAAAAGACGAGGGATGATCCCTTGACTCGGCCTCACCGATGCGGACATGATATCACGGCTGCAAATTTCGGAGCCGTACGGGAGCCCGCCGTTCATGAGATCATGGTGGCCAAGAGATCGGATATCTCACCAGATGGACGCGTACCCCTCAGCTTCGTGCCATGCAGAAGATCCCGAATCGCAGGGTCTAGGTCGAAGAATTCTTGCCGTTCGACCATTGTTCGGTGTGATTTGCGACTGGTTCCGAGGAAACAGAGTTTCTAGTGACTGGTGTCAATGATGCAACGGAGCCGGGAAGACAGCTCTATGGGCATAGATTCCCGCCTGAACAAACTCAATTGTATACAGGAATAGTCCAAATTTCATCATACAGTTGCATTCATGACCGGTTGAACAGTCGTCGTTGTTCATAATGACTGCAAGGACTTGGACTGTACCACTGAGGGAGCTTATAAGAGAGTCACTCAGCCGAAGTACGCGTGGCGCAAGCTGTATTCCGTTTCAACCTTGAAGTATATCAACTGCTCCTACGGTCTCGACGCATCACCCAGTCAAACCCCAGTGACTTTCTGACGCTCACCATGCATATCCTCCCGACATTGAGCGGCCTCCTGCTGGCAGGCGCGGCCACCACCGCGGCCCTCAACAACAGCTACTGCGCCCCCAAGTCCGGCGACGTCCAGGTCGTCCAGTACGCCTGGGCCCTCGAATACATGGTCCAGCAATACTACGCCTCCGTCGCAACCAACCAGACCTTCCTCAACTCGGCGCAGAACAGCTCCACCGCAAACTACGCCTCCAACCTGCAGGGTATCGGCCAGCAGAACCGCCTCGGCGTCCGCGCCGCGCAGCAACTCGGCAAGCGTATCGGCAACTTCACCGCACCAGGCTGCAACTTCACCTTCCCCACCCCGGACAGCAGCCAGGCCTTCCTAAGCAACGCCCAGGCGTTCGAGTCCAACGCCTCCGCCGCCCTCATCGGCCTCGAGGGCTACACCCAGGCCCCGGAGGTCTCGTTCCTGATCGCCCGTCTGGCCGCCCAGCACGCCGGCCACGCCGCCTACCTCGCCACGACCCAGCAGGCCTCCGTCTTCCAGAGCAACGTTACCTCGCTGGTGCGCGCCTACAGCCCCAGCTACGTGCTCTCCAACGGCACCAGCCCTGGCCAGCTGGGCCGCTACTTCAAGGGATGCGTCTCGGCGCCTCGGCCCCCTTGCGGAAATCTTACCATCGGGCCGTTGATCGCTACCTTGGGTGGCAACTCCTCTTCAACGAACTCGTCTTCTTCCTCGTCGACCGCCACGTCTAGCTCCGCTTCTGATACGGCCACTTCTACGGGGTCTAGCAGGAGACGATTCTGGTAAAACGTTAAAACAGGGCTGTATATTGTGTTATTTTCCAAAGCCGCCTGCAAAGGCACGAAGTAAACCCTCATGACCTCAGTACCTATTAAGACGGAAGGGATGGTGTTGCTGTAATTAATAACGTGGGCTACTTTCTTTAGCATAATGCCCTGTTACTCAATGGTATTAATTGATGACAATATGTACGGATACGCGATTTCTTCTTATATACATGTATATACACGTTCCTTATCAAAATCCGATGTACCGTGAATAATCTATAGACAATGGCTCCTTATGCGCCGATCACCCTTGGTATCCAAAACTGTCATGATTCCATCGTTGCACAATTTGCTGCTCAGAGTAGTAGCCATATCTGCTTCAAGTCCCTTGAAATCTGAGACATACCGCTTAGTCGGATTTGGACAAGTCCATGACGAACCGCCACTCCGGTGTCTTTGACGGGTGACGAAGCAGACTTGTCGCAAGAAGTAAGACCCCGGATGTGCCGGATCAGTGAATTCGATGCACTCCGCTTCACTCCGAGGCAGGTCCAGAGTTATTCTCCTTCCTTCTTCTTTTGTCTGTTGCCACGTCTTCAATCCTGCCTGATCAAGGACAGGTACCTTTCTAGACTTTCGCCCATCACGTTGATGAAGGGCCACTGGGTGTTTCGCCGGAAAAGGCGGGCCCACAGTTTGATGACTGCATATCCAAGGCTTCGTGGATCCTGACCTGGGGGTGTCTCCCCATCTTCTAGGTCCATTGAAGCATATGCTTCCTCGACTATGCAACGTGTCCAATGCAGGATTCGACTCTCATTTTCTGCATCGAAAGTTAGCAAATCAGCAATGGACGAGAGCATCCGAACAGTGTCGCCTCATACCACTCAGAGTTGTTTGATTTCCTGCCTCTGCTAGAGACAGTAGCCATTTGCTCAGGAGGACTGCACACTCCAGACTGGCAATAGAATGTCGGACGCTCCAGAAGAAGGCTTGACTACGTGCAACATAGTCAATTCCCAGGCGTACAGGAATGCTTAACGCGTGCGCAGCATAGATCAGCGCAGGCGTCAGTCGATAGCTTCGTCCCGGCCGCGGTGATCGATGTAGCGCCGCAGCAATGACGTATGGGTCTCGGGTCTCCAACTGGCGGTAGGGCCCTAGATTCAAAGAAAGGCGAACATAGGCCAACCCCAGAAGTGAGCTCGACGTGAAGGGAATGGGACCATTTTCATTATGGGGATTGAGACTGGACTCCGGTGCTTGCTGCCAGACAGAAGTCCAGGAACGAAGTGCCCTCCTGTGCAATGGTCAGTTTACCATTTGGTGCGATATTAGCTCAACATATAGCGAGACTCACTCCAGTTTATTTAATTCCTCTGTGGGTAATGAAAATGACTGGTCTCCATTAGGGATGGAAAGTTCGCTGACCAGATGAATGCGCTGTAGAAGGCCATGGAGTAGAATGTAGTTGCCTAATGGCGAAGGGATCGGATCCAACATGACAGGCGTTCGTGACTTCTGCAGAAGTAGGGCCAGCGCATCCTGGAAGAACAACTGTTGCGAGCCAACCTCCTTTTGCGCGGCCTCCCATTCACTAGCTGTGGTGGCTTTCCATTCCTGAGTGGAACAGGGCAGCCGCAAGTGTACCTCGCTACTTCGAAGCACCGGGTAGATATTATACGCGATGCTGTGGACATGAACAAAGCAAAAGGAAACAAGTCGAGTACGGCGAACGGACTCATCCTCTGCCCACTCATGCCAATGCATAGGCGAATGTCTCGGAGTTACTGCGATGTTCTCAGTTAAGCCAAATTCCCGCAAACACCTCACTAGCAGGTGCTGTAAACCAAAGGCTTCCTGAACTAGTTCGGGTCCTTCCCAACTTGCAAACCCCATCAAGACAAGCAGGGTGCGGATGTTCTCTATCTGCCTCCAGCCACTCCATCCGGGAGCATTGCCTAAAGGAAGAGGAATCGAAGAGGGCGCCTGTTGGTGAAACGTCCCCGGAACAGTAGAGAGCGGCATCTGGATGGCATTGCTGTACGACCCTCCAGTGGAGGGCTGCGCCTCTTTGGAGAGCCTGTGAAGTAAGATTGCTTTTGAGGCGTAGAAAAGCCTTTCGGCGTTACGGTGCTCAAGCCGGTACTGAGCACCCACAGTCAAGAAGGCTAATATCAACTCTGGTGCTCGTTCATTGATCCGTAGTGTGGGGAGGTGTATAAAAGGTAAATGTGTATGGAAGCCATCAAAGAAAGAGGTCAAGTATCTTGTCAGCGTGTGCCGAGACGGCAGAACGAAGTCAGGTATTAAGTGACGGAATTCCTCTAGAGAGGTTGCGAGCCGCAGTCTTTGTTCTTCGGTCACCTTAAGAGGCGAATAATTCGTTGCGGTCTGAGGGGGTTCTGAACTGTACGTCAGACACAACAGCTTCTTTTCAATTTCTCAGTTAACATACCATGATCCGACACAGTTCCGAGGCTCTGATCACCTGGCGGTACCGATGGTAGCCAAGATCTAAACGGCGAGTCATCGCGGGATCCCCTCGTCTGGCCTCGACGATTTGAGCTAAGCTGCTCTCTCGTTGCTCGGCCAGGATCGGGGACTTCGGCTGGAACTGCACTGTGAACCTGCGAGATCTCACCTTCGGTGGGAACCCATTCCGCCGGCAAGCCGATCGAGTCCAGGAAATGAGTGAAATCCTGGAAATGGTTCAGCTCTTCAGGAAGGTACGGCAATGGTTGCGCTAAGAGCAATTAGCAAACTACTGATTGATCAATATGACGGCCGGTGGCCTACCAACGGGTTGACTGTCTCGATAGGCTCCGGGGAGGAGTAGCTGTGCCGCTTGAAGAATATCCGCATCGTGAGCCACTGCTGGATGCGTCTCCAGGCCTGTATTGTTACCACGCTCGTGGAGCATGTTTTGCTCGCCTGTCAGATACGATGCAGGATGGGCACCGGGCCATTGTCCTATAGTAGGGGTTACGGGCAGAGGAACCTCTGCCCGTGGCATAGGTTGTGCATCATGATGGTCTTGGGCAATATGGGATTCGGCCTGCTTGGGCACCTGAACACCCACTGGCTGAACCTGATCCTTGGCTACCTGTTCAGGTTGAGAGCTAGGTGAAGAGAGACCATTGTCTTGGTGCAAGATACGTGTGTGCCGCTTGAGGAGATCACGGCGTGTAAAAGCCGCCCCGCAGAAACAGACGAACGGCTTCTCTTTAGTATCTGAGCAGAGCCATCAGCAAGACATGTCTACGGTATAGTTGCCAATAGACAGAAAAGCGAACGCTCATTGGTGATGATTGGAGAGGCCCTTACGAGTACGGATATGCCGCTCAAGATGTTCTGTTCTCCTGAAGTTCCGACCGCAATGGACG